TCGGGTCAAAAGGTCGCCGGATCTCCCTCTCCGGTTCCGTTACGACGGCACTTTCAAAATCCTCAGGTCTGTCTCCGTCCGGTTCCAGCTCCTTCAGTTCTTCCGCTAAAGACCAAACTTAATTGCATTAATCAATCGTTGTTGACAGTTGTTGATCTTAATGCCGATCTGTGATGATGAAGGTGGCTGACATGCATTACGGGAATGGGGCCGTGTCTAGGTGCAGGGACGTGTTGGCTTCTGAGTTCGATTTCTGCTCTGATATGAACACGACTCTGTTTCTCAAGAGGATGCTCGATGCCGAGAAGCCTGATTTCGTTGCTTTTACTGGTACATGACTTTCACTTATTTTAAACCTGGTTTAATTTTAAAGCTATGGATGTGGTGACATTTGGCTTGTGCTTTAGAACGGTGATAGACTGATTGCTTACTCTATTTGAGACAAGATTCATTACATGTGTAGCATGGCTGGGTTAAATAACCCCATTGTTCATGTGGGTTTTTACCAATTATGTTTAATGAGCTAGGTAAATTTGTGAATGGATTCTAGAATCTGTGGAACTCATTTGTACACATATGTACGATTTTAAGTCAAATTGAAAGAATTATGAAGAGGAAGGGAAGATGATCATCTTTCCATATCTTTTCTTGTAAGCTAACCTAACCGTGGCTCTCTCTCTTTTTACCAGGGGATAACATATTTGGTCCAAGCGCTGCTGATGCTGCTGAATCTCTTCTTCAAGTTTTTAGTCCCGTTTTGGAATCTGGACTTCCATGGGCAGCGGTTTTGGGGAACCATGACCAAGAATCTACAATGAATCGTGAAGAACTGATGTCTTTTATCTCTCTTCTAGATTATTCAGTCTCACAAATCAACCCGTCAGCTGAAGATATAATTAATAATGCGAGAGACAATATAGGAAAAGATATTGATGGCTTTGGAAACTATAATCTGAGAGTGCATGGTGCTTCTGGTTCCAATTTAGCAAATAACAGTGTTCTCAACCTTTTCTTTCTTGACAGTGGAGACAGAGAGATTGTTCAAGGTATTCGAACTTATGGATGGATCAAGGAATCTCAACTTAGTTGGCTTCGTAGTGTCTTTGGAGAGTTTGAGGTAAAAAAATTTATATGATGCCTATGCAGAAAGACATTATTCCTTTTGTTTTGATCACTTTCTTTTCTTCGTATAAGTTCATCTGATTTTGTGAACTTTCTACTTTAAAATAATAGAAAATATAGGAAACAAGTTGAACATGGTAGTGGATGGTAGTCAAGTGGCTGTATTTTGCATATGAAATTTGTTATCTTTTTTTTTTAAGTCGTCATTTCTTTGTGCCAAAGTTTCATCTTGCATTATGCTAGACAAAATTCCATTTATCCATTTCTATTACAAGTCCGCTAGGCATACCTGTTCCTGATTATAGAATTCTCACCAGGGAGTTTCCTGTAGTTGGATTACAATAATGTGCTGCAGGTTGCTCATTAACAGGGCCAGAAACAGGATGTTAATTACTTGACAGGTCCAACTACGCCGCCGGCTTTGGGATTCTTCCATATTCCAATTCCTGAAGTTCGAGATCTATACTACCAAGAGATTGTAGGTCACTTTCAAGAGGGCGTGGCTTGTTCTTTTGTGAATGCAGGAGCCTTAAGAACCTTTATCTCCATAGGTGATGTGAAGGCTGTGTTCATTGGCCATGATCACACTAATGACTTCTGTGGGAATTTGGGTGGTATATGGTTCTGTTATGGTGGAGGCTTTGGATATCATGGCTACGGAAAGGCTGGGTGGGCGAGGAGAGCAAGAGTCATATTAGCAGAGCTTGGAAAAGGTGAAAGGGGGTGGATGGGAGTACAGAGGATTAAGACGTGGAAGCGGCTTGATGATGAGAACCTGAGCAAGATCCACGAACAAGTATTATGGGAATCACAACCATCACAATGACTTCTATTGCAGGTAGTACAGACCTTAGCTTGTATCTTACCATGGTTTTTAAACATTTATGTTATTGCTATCATAGATATCAAAGAGAAACCCCCTTAATTGTTTCCGTTTCAAGGAATTTAAATGATTGACCTTGAACTGGGAAGAGAAATATAATTTCCGCTGCTTATATATAAGTTAAAGATCTCTATGTTGAATATGAGTCTGCATGTGTCTCCAATTTGTTCCTTAGAGGAGAATGGACTAGTTGGGTAATTGGTCATTGCCAGAATAAGACTAATGTATGTTAGAAAATTAATGGTTCGGATTTTCTCACAGATCAGTATCATTATTAGGATTATAATTAAGTGCTCTTGACTAACAGTGGTTTCTTTTTGTTATACCCAGACCAAGAGTATTTAAAACTCAGAAGTTCTTTTTTTCTTTTTCTGTATGTTTCATTATGCTAGAAATAGAAGACATTTATAACAAATAAGGTACCTAAATATTGCTATAATGACTCTAATTATAAAGGAAAATATATTCCTATAATCACTTTAATTAGATAGGAAATATAGCTCATGCCAACAGAATATACATAGGTCCAAAAGCATAACATATTTAGAGTTGCCAGCATGTTAAATTCTCTAGAAATTTTGTTAGTAGCTTCAATAAATCATATTTCTTGTCTCTTTGGCTTATTACGCAAGGACTCACAAGATCTGAAGTTTTCAGACCTTTAATTATTCCTGTGGTTGTTAACATTTGCAAGACGTGGTGTTTGCCACTCTCAAATAAAATAAGCCGGATAGCAGAAAAAATAAAATATTATAGATGCATAAATATGTAAATATATATATATGTTATTGGATGTTTTAGTTTACCAAATAAATCGATCACTAAAACTTCCACTGGTGCAAGACTCATTATTAAATCCCCAATCCCCAATCCCCAATATGGCTTAAACCATAACATGTGTAGTTTCTCTGGGAAATGAATTGCAGTGGGACTTGCAGAAATTTACTGTTGAGATATATGCTTCTGATGGGAATGCATTCCTTCTTTTATCTCGGTCAAGTACATTTGTTAAGAGATCCCTCTTTCGTGGCCCTCTGCGGCTTGAGGCAGGATTCCAAGTAGGTAATTGTTTATATTGTTAGTCGGTTTATTTTAAAGAACTTGTTTCATGGGGTAATTGTTGGTTTACTAATTTATACCCCATCTACTCAAATCATTCATTTGTTGAATGATTGATATCTCTCTCATTTATAAGAAGTTTATGAGTTTGAGTTAGTGTGTTTTTATGTTTCATTATGATTGATATGTAGGTATTATATTAATTAATTAATGAAATATTTGAATTTTCATCTGAAAAAAGAAAAAAGCTTGAAAATTTTGGATTCCTACGGTCTTCAAACGTTCGTGTTTTAATCAAGTAGACTTTGAGATCTCCTGGATAACTAATATCTCTGGGGAATTATTGGACTCGTGAAGTTTTTTTCCAATCTATTTTAAATCTTCAGTCTAGTGAATAAAGAAAACTTTAGCCAAAAAGTCCACAATCAATTTTGAGGCTTCCGCATAATGAATGAAGAAGAGCCAATAAGTTTTCTCACGCATGACCCATTTATGATTATTGAAATATCAAGAGAAACAAGAGAGAAGAGAGCCAGTTCGTAAATTGTGTGCTCCAATTCACTATACCATGTTTAAAACAGTTATTTTAATTAATATTTTTTTAATTTGTTTAATTCTTATATAATACAAAAAAATATTTGTATAATCACTAATACGTATATTCTATGTTATATATATATATATATATTTATATATAATAAACTAATGCATATCATTTTTTGAATTTATTCTTAATATAAAAAATCAATATCAACTAGTATGTAGATCATTGGATTGTCTTTATCCACACAGTATAAATTTTTTTTAAAATATATGTAATTTGTACACATTTTTATGTTTACAATTGATTTGTTCTATTTCTTTCTAGTACATTTTTATGTTTACAATTAAAACATAATATATGTTTTAATTTCTAACTAATGATAAAGGGTAATTTTTAAATTATAGACTATGGACTTTATTTTTCTTAAAAAAATAATTGGGATCTTAGAACGACTGAAGAAATTTTCTCAAGTATGTAGGAATATTTCTGAACTCATTTTTTTTACGAGTTCAGAAATTTTAAAAGTGTGTGTATTATATATAAATTATTTTCATATATAAGATAACTAATTTCTTTAATCTTATTCGATAAAAATAAAATAAAGTGCAAATAACCCACAAACATTTTTAACTGCAGATGGCCAAAAATTAAGGGTTTTAAAAGGTCACGATATGTAATGGCTTTCAAATATGAATATTTAGTAATTAAAAATTTATAATTAATACTGTAAAATTGAATTTACTGTAACGTTATAAAAATATATGATTTAATATCATCAAAATAAGCGCATTCTTTAGATTATAAGGTTGATATAATCGTGCCCACGTATAAAATATACGACTTAAAAAAAAGACAAAAAAACATTTTCAATAATGATATATATATATATATATCTTGTAATATTTAACAAACAAAACAGAAAGAAACAAATTCATGCTTTTACTTCTCCCCTCATTGATATTGAACAAGTCTCCCTCTTTCTCTATATAAATACGAGGGATTTCAAACAATGAACCATGGCGGCAACCAGCAATGAAGAATTGGTCTCGCTTCTCTCCAGTTTCGATAACATCTACAAGGTATAATAGTACGTATGATATGTACTGTGTCTGTATTTGTTTTCTTTTTTCTTGTTCGGATGATTTTTTCTTCCTTTCATCCGTTTGGCTGCTGAGGAAACGAGGAAAAGGAAATCATTTCAATAGAGGCTCTTTGATTTTGTGTTCACATTTTTCTAAGGGAAAAAGGAATATAAATTTGTAAATATAGTTTTGAACTTCATAGTTCTTTATTCAGTTCGATGAGTATTTTCTCGGTGACGTTTCTTTCTTTTATTTACTTCCAATCTTGAAAATAGCTTTGCTTTCTGGAGTTTTTGTTCTGAGTTTGAAGTTTTGGAACATATCTTTTACTGCCTTTTATCGCGAACCAAACAGAAGTCTAGAACACTTAAAGTTACGACGACTGCTAATCACATTTATCCGGGGAAAAAGAATCCCGAGCTTCTTTTTAGACCATATCTAGGGATAATTGAGCTGGACAATTAGTTCTCTAGATCCAAACTTCAAAATATACGTTCTCCACTTTCTGTGCATCCAACAGTGGCTTTACTTGTGAAATTGGATAAACTTGATGTTCTCAGGACTTCAAGTCGGGGATTAGTGAGATCGAAGTGCTGAAATCAAACTGTAGGACGGAAATCAAGAGAAGAGAGGCTCTTGAAATCACATGCAACAGTCTCAAGCAAGGTTAGTTGTTGAATTTCATTATTCTTTTATTTGTAAGATCGGACTTTCCTTGATCGTAGTTTCTATGCTTTTTCATGTTTAGCAGCTTTAGAAATTAGATTAAGAAATTGACCAGATAGGTTTTGGATCTGTATTTCGGCTTCGTGCTTTTGTAGACATTGAAGAATCTTAGTTATAATGCAGAAAATGAGCGGCTGATGAAACTGTATACAGAATCTTTAAACAATCTCGCTGATCAGGTGCACCATCTTTTAGTTTTTACTCAGCAGTGAGCTGTTCAGAATGTTGTCCCCAGATATAATAAACGTGTTTAGTAAAAAAAAAATTATTGAACATGGGAATGCATAATATATTTCATTTAGGTTATAATCTATGCTCAAGGTAACATTTATTCTGAAATACAGCTTGCGCGCAGGACAACATGTCAGAGCTTGAGAGAGGAACTGAAGACAGTGAATGATGCATGTCTTAGCAAAGAAAATGTAAGTTTATTTCATGTTTAAACTTCATTTCTATAGTCTATGGTACATCTTGTGCAACAGTGAGTTTCAATTTGTATGGATCACATTTTGGGGTCCTATTATTGTGGTCCTGAGAGGCACCATGACTATTTTCTAATATTCCATTGTAACTTTGAGCTATAATAAAATGCACGCAGAAATTAAGTGATTGCTAAAAATAGTTATTATCTTATAGTGAAATGTTGGACCGTGGAAGCATGATGGCTTTGGATCACCATAGAATTTTCCAACATTCTGTTATTGTCACAGCTCAAGTTTCTTGATGCTGTAAATTATTGTGGAACTGATTCTTGTCATCTAGTTATCTTGTTAGAAATGTATTATTTGGAGAAGTTGAAATTGTTGCAAGCAGGGATATAAGAAGGCTTTGGAATCACTGAAGCAAAGGTACGAGGCAAAAATTGGAGAGTTAGAAGATGAAATCAGGTGAAGTTTTCTATTTAAAGAAACAAACATGTTACCTCTAATATTTGAATTAAGTTTTTCGCTGAGAATGAAGCAACCATTTATAGAGGCCTTCTACTTGAAAAGGCATCAAATGAAGCAGTCAATAATCACCTCCGCCAAGATTTAACAGCACATATAAACCATATTCAAGCTCTGGCAAACCAGTTGGATCAAGTCCGTTCTGATGAGGAGTCAAAATGTCAGGTTCAAAATCCACTATGCATTTCCTAAATTTCCTTTCTTTCTACAAATGAATGAGCTCGATATACGTACTTGACAGATCATCTAGAGATTCAAGATTTGAGGGAGCGCTTGCTGGTTGAACAGGAAGAGAAAAATGAGCTCCAGAAGAGACTCCAGGATTTGCAAAAGGAATGTGAGTGCCACTTTTTTTCTCATATCCTCTGAGAAAATGTTGTGGTTTGAATATATAAATAATGGAAAGTTCTCAGGATTAATCTTACCAACAATCTTCTCTATGAGAGGATGTGGCCTCAGTTTCCAACTAAATCAATGATATAATTTCGGTTCCAATAATTAACGGTAATTCTTAATTGGGCAGGTTGTTCAGTTTTCCGGTCATATCTTGTAAGTTAGATCAATCATGTTTCAAATCATTTCCCATTTTTTGTTTCCTGTAATTATGTTTTTGAGCTTAAAAAGAAGTTTCGGATCATTTCATTTCGCATTACTGTTTATCTTGAATCATTATGTTTTGGACTTTGGATTACCTCAAGATCAGGTCTTCTTGGCTTTGGGTAATGTTAAGGCTCACCTTTCAACTGCCTCATTTACATCTTCCAAGTTTTGTTCGAGTTAATGTTTATTGTTCAGGTTGTAGCTTGGTTCATTTCTGATTTAGGATCATTACAAGCCTGGAGTTTTTGGTCACTCTAGGTTCACGTCCTACCATCTTGGGGTAATAATAATAGTCAGTTTCGCCAACATGACTCAACTACGCTGAAGTGTGTCTTGAATCCAATTTACTTGTGCTTAGATTCTAGACTTGAGGTCTAGTGTTTACAAGTCAGCATGCAGCTCTGTTGCATATGTATCTGAATTTACTTCTATGATTCTCAATCGTTTGGTTGGTGGTTAATTGTCGAGTTGATTACAATTGCTCCATTCTGGAATTTAAAAAAAAAAAAACTGCACAAAACCTCTGTGGATTCTTGTTTTCTTGCCAAAATATCTTATCTCTTAAAACTTTAAAGATATAGAGCATTATAGACCAAAAAACCCACCCAAGATTAAGTGTTCACAATTCAAAAAGCTGCTCTGCTGCATGGCTATATGAATCACTTTACTAATTCAAATGGTGTTGCTGATTGTTAATCTGGCAGTATTAATTAGCAGAACAAAGTTGGTTGAGCAACAGCGAGATCTTGCATCAAATCTGCAAGTAGAATCACTTAAACTGAAGCTGATGAAACTGAGGAAAGAAAATGAGATCCTCCGAAGGAAGATTTCTTGTTCAGCAGAAAATTAGGTAGGAATCTCCTCTTCCTTTGCTAAAATTCGCTGTTTTTGTCATGTTGAATTGTTGTATCGACGTTTGATACTGGATAACCTTGTTTGTATAACTGAGATGAATCTGCTCCCTTAATTTTCTAGCACCAAATTGAGAAGTTCTGATAAGGTCGTTATTTGCCCGTTTACACTATTTTTTCACCCTCAAATTTTAAGCAAATTACTTTGTCATAATAATCGGATTTGGCAAGTCAGTCTACCAAATAAAATTCTTTTTTTTTTTTCAAAAAAAAAAACTAAATAAAAAATATTTATGGCAACATTTATTTTAATGGTGTAGGGACATAATAATCAACTAAACGATGGCTGAATGAATGTAAGTAAATTCTTGAAAAAAAAAGTAATCCATTTTTACAATGATCTAACTCAAATTGATTTTCTGATAAAAAAATATTTTTTAAATATCTGATCCTACCCAATAAAATCCAACCCGACCCGGCTAATCCATCTCCTTCTAATAATAACTGGCGTGTAATAAAAAACGAGTTTTTCCGTCTTTCCCACCGTTTTGAGGCGTTTAAAAACCCCCCTGTTGCTCTTTTTTGGGTGGAAGCCAATGCGGTGAATTTATAATGACTAACACCAGACATGACCTTCTTCTCGAACCTCTCCGCTTGTCATCTATTGATTCGTCAAGAACCTAAACAAATAAGGACGACATCTCAAGAAAATCTCCATTTCAGCAAATTCTTTATTTTCCATCTGCAATCCGTATTTACAAAATTGAGATAACCTGTATAAAAAAAAATGGGGAAGAAATCTTCTTCATCGTCCGTAAACGGATGGAGATATCGTCATCCGAGGAATTACCTGAAGAACACGAAGCTACTGGTGCTTACCATCGTCTCATTGGTCGCCATTACCTGCCTCGTCTTGGACCGTTACACTCTCACCAGAGAGCACCAGGTTCCTCTTCTCTATCCTCATCGATTTGCATTTTTGTATTTCGTTTTTCATTCCTCCACATCTTCAATTAATTTTTTCTGTTAACAAGTTAAACGAATTTCTTCGCTTTATAGGTAGAGGTATCGAGATTGAATCAGGAATTGACAAACTTGCTCAATCAGGTAAGAATTCGTTCTTTTTCCCGAAACATTCTTGTTGATTTGTTTCGTTTCTTAAAGTTTATTTGGATATACTTGCAGCTTGACAATGTAAAAAATCGTCTAAAAGGATCGGGTGTAGACATCCAGATTAGGGCTAAAACTAGGGAAGTCACAGAGAAGGAGGTTGTTAAGGATGATCCACTTGATATTGAACGAAGAGAGAAAGTGAAAGACGCTATGCTTCACGCATGGACGTGTTATGAAAAGTACGCTTGGGGTCAAGATGAACTTCAGGTTTCTCTAAATCATTGGAAAATTTTGTTGATTAATTTTCCATTTCTGTTCTGACAAGGATTTCATGTGTTTATGTTGCTAACTGCTGGTGATTTATGGGTCTCTTTTAGGAGGGGAATGAATTACACATAAGATTACATGAATTTGTGGTAAGGTAGAACTGTGTTTTCTTGAAAATTGTCTATTTACAAGTAAATGGAAACAATAGGTTAAGCATTTCTGATTCAAAATGGAGAAAAATGAAGAAATAGATAAGGGTGCTGAAGCAAGCATGCCCTGCACTGTTGCTGGTAATTTCAGATTATAAAACTGGACTTTCTTCTATTTGGGCAGTAAAGGACTGCCATGTTTGCAATTGGTATTAGGCGTTGTTCCCAGTCTCTTTGCATTAGAAGTTTCTCTTAAGTCAACCCCTCACCCATACCTTACTTTATGGGACTGATTTCTTTCATTCCAAAAACAAGTAATCCGTAGGTTCCTTTTCTAAGGAATGTGTGCAATTTGTCTAATATATTTCACGCTTTTTGCCTACATATCCAGATCATGCATCTGATGGGTTAAATCTCATTCTGAAACAGCCAGAAACAAAGAATGGTGTCAATAGCTTTGGTGGCCTTGGAGCAACTCTTATAGATTCTCTTGACACATTATTTATAATGGACCTCCACGAGCAATTCCAAAGAGCCAGAGAGTGAGTTTTATATTTTCCAATGAGATGCTCAGCTTTCCTATGTTTATATGCTTTGTCTTCATGCTATTAGCTGGTATTTTCTTATCCAAGTGTTTAATTTGATAAAGCATGAGACATTACAATCACTAATGGGGTTTCTAGTAGATGACTAATGTTTGGTTCTAATTTGATTATGTCTTAAAAGTTTCTCTTTCCATATTTTATTAATCATCACAACAAATTATTGCAGGTGGGTTGCAAACTCGTTGGATTTTAACCAAGATTATGAGGCTAGTGTTTTTGAGACAACTATAAGGTTGGAATATGTTAATCTTATTTTTCCTTTCATAGTTTGCTTTCTCAGATGTCCAGCATATATATTATCTTATTTGTGAAACATAATCTGTACAGTCACTAGCACTGACCATTGTTTCTGGCTTTTTAATCTTAATATTGAATTCAGAGTTTTAGGTGGGCTCCTTAGTGCATATGATCTGTCTGGTGATAAAATCTTCCTTGAAAAGGCCAGAGACATTGCAGATAGGCTGCTGCCTGCATGGAATACACCATCAGGAATTCCCTATAATCGGATTAACCTGGTGCATGGGAATGCACATAACCCGAGGTGGACAAGGGTAAGTTTTATTCTCTTGAAGTCATTAGACAGTCTTTTTCTTTGTTCATCTTTTGTAACTTAGATGCTCACTCAAAGCATTATCTTTTTGTTGGTTAGATTGGCGGTATGACATTGTTACTGATCTGGGAGTTAAAAACTACATCTCTTGGATCTTTCGTATAGTATGTTTAAGATATATAGGGTTCTGCTCATATGTTTCCTTACAATGTTTAAGGCCCTAAATCAAAGTCCAAAGTAGGAAATGAGAAGAGGATTCCCAATTAGACCTAGAAACATGACCTCATAACATCTTTTAGTAGTAGTATATTTAAAGATTCTCTGTTTCTAGGGGAGCAGTATTTTAGCAGATTCTGGAACCGAACAACTTGAATTTATTGCTCTATCACAGAGGACAGGAGACCCCAAGTACCAGCAGAAGGTATTCTTTCTGTCACATTTATGTATGGGCTGACACGCCATCTTCTGTTTTCACCTAATATATGCTTAGATGTTTGTTCTAAGTTGTCTGATGTTATTCAGGCAGAGAATGTCATCAAGGAACTCCATAAAACATTCCCTGTGGATGGTCTGCTTCCTATATATATTAATCCTCACACTGGAGTGACGTCTCACTCAACAATCACATTTGGTGCCATGGGTGATAGGTAACAACCCGTAGTTTCAAAAAATATATCTGATATGGAGAACATTTAACTTTTCTACTAATGACAAGACTTGGACTGTGTTTGTCTGCTACATCCAGGAGTGAAATTTGTGCTAACTTGGAGCACAAGTTGGTGCTCAACTCTATATTATAGTTTGAATTTTAGGAAATCAACTCTTTTAAGTGCATATAGTTGGGGAGGCTGTTGAGCTGCATCTGTGACATTCCTTTAGGCTAAGTTATATCTAAGAGTTTAATGCTTCAGCTTCTAATTTGTGTTTTACATTGCATAAAAAAATTGAGGTAGTTCTTGGAGCTAACCTTCACTAAATTCTGACCTGGAAACAATTAGTATTGCATGAATTTGAGTGCTTAAGCAACAGGGTATTGCAGTCGAGGCAGATATATGTAAAAAATTGTGTTCCTTACATGTTTAAACATAATATATTGATAAATTAAGTTGAATAACATAACCAGCTATGCTGTTTCACGTCATCGGTAGTGTAGACATAATTTCCAACAAATCCCATTTAGTCATATATATTAATAGGATAAAGTATACAAAGTATTTGTATTTCTCTTCTATTATACTTGTACAAGGAATAGATGATACCTGATACGACAGAATTAAATATAAAGAAAGAGATATACAAACATAGTTGTATGTATATATATGTATATATCCTATTTTCTGTGGTGAAATATCTGTTTGTGACAGATTATCTCAGAAGCAGAAAATAACTTACTCTATTATTTACGTTTTTATTGTTTATACTCTTAACATGCCTGCTAAACTGTTTAGCAAGCACATTGGTCTTGAAATTTAATTGAGAGAAATCGAACAACACTCAGGGTCTATATTTCTAATAATACTAAAATTTTAAACTGATAGTAAATGTCCAATCTATATTTATATCCACATTATATATATTAAAAATTCCTTTTGGATGGTCTACGTTTATTTGTGTAGCCTTTCGTACATATCACAAGTTTATCTCCCATAGCATGTCTCTATGTGCATTATTAGGTAACAAGCATGCCTGTTACCTGCTATATTGATCTGCACAATTTTACTCATGCTGCAGCTTTTATGAATATTTACTCAAGGTTTGGATACAGGGGAATAAAACAGAAGCTGTAAAGCAGTATAGGTGACGTCTTAACTGATGTTCTCTTTTCGTTTTAAATTTCAATGTGATAAGAATATAACTTTGCAGTTTATGGTAGAACTTACATATATATTTTATGTTAAAATGTAGTTAGAAAGCCTTTTCAAACACACAATTTTAAATTTATTGTATGTGATACAAAATGCTCCCATTTATGTTGACATTTTTACAAGTGTTCGATTGGTATATGGCTAGTGTTAACATGATGTATATTCTATCATATGGAGTTTCCACAAGCAGCTTCGCTGACATAGATAGTTTGAGTAACATGAAAGAATTGAAGTATGCGAGCTCTATAATGAGCAGTAGTGTCCATAAGTGGATTCTGTGACGTGAATATTTTTCCACTTGATTTTCCATTATATGGTTATGAAAGCTAGCATGGTTTTGAAAGAAATGTCTAATTAATAACTTAAAGAACTTAATTATTAATTTTAAAGGTATGTAACTATTCTTTAGTTTAAGATTCTCATTGTGAACCGAAACCTTGAAGTTTACATATTTTGAAAATTGAAACCTTTAGATCTTAATACCATTTAAACCCTAATGTCTGCAAAGGAGAAAATTAGATCTTCCATATACATTTTGAGCAACAGAACATGTGGTAACTACGTGTCCCATATCTCCTCCTAACAGTAGAGCACAATAGTCATGGTTGGTTTAAATGTCATTGACAACAACCATCAAAGTATCAATCTCTGACTCCTTTCTCAGTTGTCACCACTACCCGTCCCTCAATTTCCATGCCCAAAGGCCCATGAGGCTTGCCCTTCCAACTGTGACTTTTCACTTCCAATGAGCCAGCCTTCAATATATGTAATTAATTTTGAGATAAATTTTGCTTTATATCAAATATGGTCGGGAGGATTACATTCATGTCAAAACTTGATTGACTAATTTGACTTTGCTTATGTTCTTGGGTAGGAGCTTCTTGTTCTGTAGTTTAATCCCCAGCATTGTCAATCTTGTGAATTTGGAGTTGACAGAGAATGGCAAGCAACAGGGTTTCTGCAAGTCAAATTCCTATTAAAATTGTGAAAAATCTAAATTCATTGCAGGTTGTTGATCTTTTCTTTTTGAAATAGAACGTGTAATGTATAAATTACATGTACCAAGGGGGTGCAAAATTGAGATACAAAAGAATTTACATTTCAGTCAATATGTTAATTAGATCTCCTAAATTCTCCATTGAATACAACTATTGCCTCAAAATCAAAATACTAAGAGTTTGAAACCATCTCTCCCCTAATCTATCAAAGTTTTCCTCCACTTCCTCAAAGACTCTTCTACTCATTTCTTTCCAAAGCACCCAAATAGTTGTCAACAGGATGAACCCCAATTGCCTCTTTCTACTCACGTCTGTCCAAACTCAAATTTCCTCATTGACAATTTTGGCTATAGCCCATATATAACTCAAAATCCCGAGAGCCATAGACTATAAGCTATATGCTAGGGGACACCTGATAAGTAAGTGGCCACAAGTCTCTTCCGTTTCTTTATACAAGCAACACCAGTTTGTCTTGATCTTCTCTTTCTTCATTAACTTATAAATTATCTAACGAATTGCTTCCTATGCAAAAAATGTTATTCTTGGGGTTGTATTTACTTTTTAAATTTGTCTAAACAGAAATTTCATTCGCTAGGCGATTTCTTTGACAAAAGCTTATTGTCAAAGGTTGTAGAAAAAAATATTGAATATTTACTTGTGTTTTATTAAAATGAGAATAGAAATATATATAAATATAGATGGATTCATATATGATAACCAATATAAATCACTCTATTAATTATGCTAACATATTTAGAAAGATAATCATACTATTATGCACACGGAATATTCTATAATATTTTAATACTACTCAAGGTGGAGTATAAATATTAATCATGCCTAGTTTGTTTCGAAGATATTCAATCCATAATCCATTTTGAGGTTTTGTGAATATATTACCAAATTGTTCTTCTGTCTTCACATAACTAGTGAATATAAAGTTTTATTAAATTTTTTTTTTGGATAAAGTGACAATCAATGTCAATATGTTTGATCTCTCATAATACATAGGATTCGAGGTAATATAAAAGATAGTCCGATTATCACACCAGAGTTTCATAGGAGATGTGGGTCTCAAACCCACTTCATTTAAAAGATAATGTATCCATAAGATTTCGCATGTAGACTGGGTCATAGCTCTATATTCAAACTCTGTGCTTGAGTAAGATATAACTGTTTGTTTCTTACTTTTTCATGATGCGAGATTCCCACCAACAAAAACACAATACTCCGTAGTAAATCTCCTATCAATTTTAGATCCAGTCCAATCAACATCTGTAAAACATTCAATGTGAGTATGTTCATAATTTTTAAATACTATGCCAAGTTTCGGAGCACTTTTCAAATAGTACAAAATCTATTTCAGAACCTCCCATTGGTTGACTGTAAGTATAGACATAAACTGACTAACAATACTGACAGGGTATATAATATTTAGACGAGTTACAGTGAGATAAGTAAATTTTTTAACTAATCGCCTGTATTTTTCTGGATCATCAAGGGGATCATAATCATTTTTTGTAACATGTACATTTGATACCATTTGTGTATTGTATGACTTAATTCTCAGTTTTCTTGTTTTTATCAGTAGATCATGTGCATACTTTCTCTAAGATAACAAAATTCCTTCCTTACTTCTTGTTACTTCCACCTCCAAGAAGTATTTTAACTGTCTCAAGTCTTTGGTATTAAACTTGTTGTGCAAGAATGACTTGAGAGAGAATATTTTTGCATGGTTTTTTTCTATAATCACAACATCATCAACATAAATAATAAGAAGTATAATACCAGTTGTTGATTGTTTATAGAAAACTAAATGATCACACATGCTTTTCTTCAGTCCGAACTTATAGACTACCTCATTGAATTTGTCAAACCATACACAGGAACTCTGTTTCAGGACATACAAAGATTTTTTTAAATGATAGACTTTTCTGTACTCCCCCTAAATAACAAAGCTAGATGGTTGCTGCATATACACTTCTTTTAGGAGATCACCATTTAAAAATGCATTTTTAATGTCTAATTGGTGTAAGAGCCAATTTCGCAAGTCTGCAATAGATGTGAATAAACGGACATAGATAAGTTTGGCCGTTGGAGAGAATGTATCAGAATAGTCCACCGCATAAGTTTGAGTATAATCTTTTGCTATTAGTTGAGCTTTAAGTCTCGCTACAGAGTTATCTGGATTCACTTTGACTGCAAATATCCATTTGCACTCTACAACCTTTTTTTCTTTGGGTAAATCTGTCAGATACCAGGTATAATTGTCGTCAAGAGTATTTATTTTTTTAAACATGACATTACACCAATCAGGGTGATTCAGAGCCTCTTTAACTGTGTTGAATATAGAAACTGAATTTATAAAAACAATTAAAGCAATAAATGAAGAAGACATATGGTCATATGAGATAAAATTAGCAATGGAATAAGTTGGCATAAAAATGGTGCA